CGGCTTATTTTTTCTGTATATTTTTAGTTGTCCGATTAATTTCTTTCTATTTTTAGTAGAGACGGGGTCTCGCTCTTGCTCAGGCTGGTTTGGAACTCCTGAGCTCAAACAATCCGCCCGCCTCGGCCTCCCAGAGTGCTAGGATTACAGGCATGAGCCAAAACTTTCATGATAGCTTTGGCTAAATGTTTGTGCCAATATATCTGGTAGTATACAAAAACAGAAACTGTAACAAAAGGGAATACCTTGGATTTTGATATTTTTGATAATGTCAAACAATCCTGGTTCATTTGAGAATCTAGTGAACATAAGCATTCAAGGAAATGTGTTTCAAATTACCTGGTAACTCAAATTTAAATAAGAACATTTAAATATATAGCATTTCCAAGGTAAAATTACAAAATAACACTCCAAAACACGAGATACAATATATCTCATAAACTTACCCTGGCAAACTGTACTGAAAAGTGTGGGATCAATGGCAGGAATAGTCTGTGGAGTAGGCTGGATAGCATTGCTTGTTACACCTGCAAACCAGAAAAGCACAAATGGGTATAAAAGTGTTATACCATTCAATTACGTACTAGGAAAACGCTTACAGGATTATGGGGGAATTTCATTATTTCACCTAATTATTTTCTTGAAACATTAATGGATTCCAATTGGATATACTTATTTGATGTTGGAGGCTGCCAGAGAAAATATGCAGGAGAATAAATTATGAGTATTTACACAACTGTATTGGCTATACACTTCCTAATATGTATTTTGTTTGTCTAATGTTTCAATTTACTTCTCAATTAAAGCTTATCAAATATCTACAGAAGTAAAAGACTTCTACTTCCTACTTTTCATTTTCTTAGCCAATTAAATAATTTTGGGGACAACGTGAGACATAATTATGATTTAGTTTAACTTATGGGATGAGTCCCATTTCATCACTGTGCATGAAATTACAAATCACACATTTCAAATTTTCCAGTTCCCACATTTTTAAAATGGGATTTTTATATATCCAATAAATAATTAGTTTGTTTTTACTTCATGTTAGAACTTGTCAAAACTGTCATATTCAGTAAAGAACTAAGCATTCTTGATTAATGGTAAGGAATATACTGGAGTTGAAGATTATTAATCATCTAAGAAATTAACAAAGTGTTAAAACATTCCAAAAAAAAAAAAAAAAACAAAAAAGGCTTCAATCAGCAGGGAAAGAAAAGCTGATTACTCCAAATCAATGGAGTTATCCTCTCAAAACAGGGTGTATTTGTCCCAACCTCATAGGTTAAATTCAAACAGGCAATTTGTAGTAAGAGTATAGTGGGAAAGACACTGGGATGAGAAAAAGCAAGGAGAGGAAAGGGTGAAAATAAAGTGGGAAGTTTCTAGGGGCACAAAAACATATCTAACGACAGTTCTAGAATGTTGGTTTCACAAAAGATGATTGAAGTTCTAAAATACAGTGTTTCTGCATGAAGTTTTGACTTTGAAAAACTTTCTCATCACTAACCTAAGGGAAAAAATAGTTTAAATAAATATGATTTTACTTCATTTAATTTTGTTTTTACTTCATTTAATTTTTAGGGCAAACTGGTTTCATTTTTACAGCCTTTGGAACTATACAAAGTCATGAAAATCTTATTTTTTAACTAAAAATTTGAGCTAATAAAAAATTTAAAAGTATAAAGGGATACAGATGAAAGTAAAAATTTTAAACAGTACAAGAAAATACAAAGGTGAAAGCTTGCCTCTCGTTCCTACTCAGAACCACTTCAGGGTTACTAGCCGTTTCTAGGACACCCTTCCATTCGTATACAAACGTGTGAGTCCACTCCGATCTCTCTATGTGCAATGCTATTCTTTGCTAAGACATTTGTGTTTTGAAATTTGAAAATCAAAATCCCCCAGAAGGCAAGCTTTGTGTGTGTTTTGCAAATGGTAGTAAGTTCTGTATACTATACTGTTCTGTGCATTTTTACTTAACATGTCTTAGCAATAATTCCAGATTAATACATACAAATCTGCCTTGTTCTTTTTAATGGCTACATAGTGTTCCATGCTATGCATGCACCCCAATTTATAAAGCAATCCATTACTTACAGACATTTAAGTTGTTTCCAGTCTTTTGCTACTATAGATAATG